AAGCATGGGCCGGTTTATCGTGTGGGTGGAAGCTCCCAGAAGGAAAAGGAAAGAAATAGAGAGACACACACACGGAGAATGTACCTCTTGTTAAAGATTCTACAAGGTCAGATGACAGAATTTTGAAATTATGAAGAATTAAAATGTTCCAGACCAGGGATGGAGAGATGGCCCAGCAATTAAGAGCACTGACTGCTCTTCCAGAGGACCAGGGTTCAATTCCCAGCACCCACATGGCAGCTCACAACTGTCTGTAACTGTCCAGTTTGAGGGGATCTGACACCTTCACACCAATACACATAAAATAAAGTTAAATAAATTATTTTTTTAAAAGTGTTTCAGACCAGAGCCAAATTATGTTGGGCAATTTTTAGTCTATATGTTATCCACTGCCTACCCCGTGTCTCATCTAACATGGTGATGACTAACCTTACCTTGTATTGTTAGCAGATCACTCACTTCTATCATCCCCAAAGCCAAGGACATCACCACACGGCACCTGAAATCTGCAGTGAGGTTTCCCTGATTTGCTGTGACCTGCTCCCCCATGACCCCCACAAATGCATTTGGCAAATACTTTGATTTATGACTTTGTTATGTAACCAATAAAACTTACATAGCCATTTCCACGGTAGAAGATAGACTCCAGGGAAAGCTGAATGCGTGTTCCCAGGCCATTTATTCACGTTTGGCTCCAGAATGAGCCATTTCTTATTCTTCTTTAGATGAGAATTGTGCTTTTTACACCAACAAAGGTCAGGGGACAACTCCCTGTCAGGATCCACTTGTCTCCCAGCCTTGATGCTGGGTTGCTGAGGAGGATCTGCACTGGCCTCTCAAGTTTAGCCATCTTAAAAGTGTTGGCTCCTAGGGTAGCTGCCGGCCAGTATGTGTGTCTTTATGCCGCTAATCAACACTCCATAGAGCAGCACAGAGGGTGCAGCTCACTCCACTCCTGCTGTAGAAATGTGGGAAAAGCAGGCAGAAGGGGCAGACGGGAGAGGTCCCCCGTGTGAGTCTCCTGGGGCAGTTGTGCGGAGCAGGAACAAGGGCTAGAGAGCACCTGCTGGCTGCAAGCCCCAGCTTCTATAGATCCCACATGAGCAACCCCTGAAGCAGCAAGACTCTTGTACCCCAAGGCAAAGAGCTGGACATGTGGTTAGAAGGAGGATGGAGAGTGTGGGAGCTCACAAAGGTTTCCTAGTGAGATCTGAGCTTGCTTTACATAGCAGGGCTGCATTAGGGGATGGCTTGACCACATGCATGGTCACCAGGTGTCTGGGATGGTCTGCGCTTGGCTGTGCCACCCCTTGGCATTCCTTTAAAAGTAGTGAGACAGAGGGGCTGGTGGGTTTTGACCCAGGCCCCCCCCCCCCGAGGCTATCTTATGTTTCTAATTGTCTCTCTCCTCTATACGTTTATTACATATTTCTCATTTCTCCCCACTCAAGAGTACCCTGGGGGAAAAAGAAGGAGCTGGTCTCCCTCAGGAGAGTCGATTAAGAAAAAGGAAGCACTCACAGGAGTGGGAAAGCCCTAGAGTGCTCACGATCCTTTACAGGTTATTGCACAGCTGCCCCTGGCGTTCAACGTGGTGGCAAGAGTTTCCACCTAAAAACTGAGAAAAAAGATTCTAAAACGGAGCTAAAAACAGCTTCCTAATTGTCTCTCTCAAATGAGCGGCAGCTGCCGGTTTGAGCTACTGGTGGGTTCCTAACGTGTGCACTCGACCTGCAGTATTGTGGGAATGAGGCCTCTGCAAGTGGCACATTAAGCTGCCTGGAGGATTTAGCCTTTGCTAGTACAAAACAAAAAAAAGAGGTTTCTGGGCTACACGCTGCTTGGCTAAAAGCATAGACCCCCGATAGCTCCCAGAGCTGGCCGTAAACCACCGCCACGTTGGGAAGCTGAGGTGGGCGAAGCCAGCAGCCACAGCTGCTGCAGTTTAAAGCAACAGATTCACAATAAGACAGATTCAGATGTAATAGTTTACAATGTGTGTAAAATATACGTAGGCTTGAAAGAGACAAAAAAGGTGATATATACAGTTATAGAAACAAATACATAGTTTTAAAAAATAAAGTCTTTAAAGAGACAGTAAAATTAATATAAAAAATAAGCCACGTGAAGATGAATATTACACAGAGAATCTGGATTGTGTTGTCTTTGGGATTTTTAACTGCAGAAAAACATTTGATTGTAAAAGCTGTTGAGTTATGCCAAAATGTATATTTTAAAGATACCTTGACTTCAAAATTTGGATATAAGGATGTGTTGCTTTGGAAAAGAGTCTCTGCTTTTGTTTCTACAGAAAGTCAGAGGCTATGGATTTGTTCCAGATTAAGATACATCAGGTTTGACCAGCCAAGACCCCCTGAAAGGTCTTCGATGACAGCATGGCCCAGATGATCCAACATCCAGAATGGTTTCAAGGCAACTGGCTCAGACGATACAGCCTCACGGACTATTCCATGATCCTAAAATTTTCTTTGTGTCCCCATAAGATACAGTGCCCCCCTCCAGCAGGAAGTAGTAAGAGAAGCTATGCCCAAATCCCCAAATTATATGTAATTTTACTTTGTTAAGGTTAAAACCTTCCTTTTTGAAAAAAAAAAGGGGAAGTGCTGTGGGATGTTCTGTATGGCAAATGTGTTGCTGATTAGTCAATAAATAAAACACTGATTGGCCATTGGCTAGGCAGGAAGTGTAGGCGGGACAAGGAGGAGAATAAAGCTGGGAAGTGGAAGGCTGAGTCAGAGAGACACTGCCAGCCGCCATGATGAGAAACAGCATGTAAAGATGCCGGTAAGCCACGAGCCATGTGGCAAGGTATAGATTAATGGAAATGGATTAATTTAAGCTGTAAGAAAAGTTAGCAAGAAGCCTGCCATGGCCATACAGTTTGTAGCCAATATGTCTCTGTGTTTACTTGGTCGGGTCTGAGCGACTGTGGGACTGGCAGGTGAGAGAGATTTGTCCTGACTGTGGGCCAGGCAGGAAAACTCTAGCTACATGCCCCTCTGTCTCTGGACTTTTCTTAGGCATGCTCTGTTTGTCACTTGTAGCCCACATGTGGAAGGGTGTCCAGTCTTTCTCTGCCAGTGACTTTTTTGTGTCAATCTTTAGGCTGCTGCCTTTAGTCCTTAATTTCTGAAAGTTCTGTTCTGTGGGGGCCAAGGGCAACACTGAGGCAGATTGCCTTTTTGAAGAAGTTTATTAGCAGAGTTATTAATGCCAAGAGAAGACAGACAGACAGATGACAGTATGGTAAGGGCTGTAAGGAGAGTTAAGACCTGAACCCCACGGATAGGCAGGAAGACAGCGTGGAAGGGGTTCTAAGGATAATTCAGACCCACGAATCAGAGTGGGCTCATTTCTTATAGATCTCAGAAGAAGGTGGAAGATTTAGTAGTCAGTTTGTCTCTGACTCCCCAGCCAGTGGCAAGGGAGGTGGGAAGATCGGAATTCCAGTGTAGGAGGAGGTATCTCCATTGCTCGCCCTCCCCCCCCACCCCCGCACCCCCTCCATGTCTTAGAGAGTCTGGCAACCTGAGATCTGTGAACTTCCTGTGATTCTCCTGGGGTCCAGGCACCCGGGCTTAGAAACTCACTGATGGTTGGTACAGGGGCTGTGGCTGTGGCCTGGAAGCAGTTTTGTCTAGACTCTAACACTTCCCTACAGCATCTGAACTTCCCTTCAGCAGCATCTCATGAGGGCCCAGTGAGTCTAGATCCTTGTTGTCCTGACCATGAGCGATGTACCAGGGAGAAGATAGCTCCTTATATCAAAGCACAAACAGGCCGGAGGTAACAGCTGCTTAAAAGGAACTCCCAGAAGCTGGGAGATGTGTTTCTGAGCAGAGAGCCGGGCGAGGCCCTCCTCAGGACCCAGCTTGGAATCTCCATGGCTAAAGGGAATAGGGGTATTCATATCCCAGTGTCCAACAGTCATTAACTGACTGGGAGGATTATTTCCTGGGTGCCTCAGTCTGCAGAATGGGCTACACCAACCAGGGAGGGTTCCCTGCTGAGGTGGTCACTCTTGTCACATATCATCCATAAAATCTGAAAATCACCGCGGAGATGACTTTCTGGAAGGGAGCTTCTAGATTCGGTTAATTGGGGTGGGAAGACACATCCTAACCATAGGTGGCACCATTTCATGGTCTGTAGTCCTAGACTCTCTGCTCTCTGAATACAGCTGCAATGTGAGCTGCCTTAAACTCCTGCACCACGCCTTCGCCTCCATGATGGATCTGCACCTGCAAACCGGAGCCCAAGTACACCCCTCCCTCCTCAAGTTGGTTTTGACAGGTATTCTGTCAGAACAGGAAAAGTAAGACACCAGCCGAAGAGCTCAGAGGAGGTGGTGGTGGGGAACTGAGCAGTATGTGTGTATGGGAAGTGTGCAGTGTGGGACCGAGGCTCAGGGGACACTGCAGTGACGTCACAATGAAAAGGCAGCAGTGACATCACAGTGAAAAGGCAGCTGTGACATCAGTGACATCACAGTGAAAAGGCAGCTGTGACATCACAGTGAAAAGGCAGCTGTGACATCACAATGAAAAGGCAGCTGTGACATCACAAGGAAAAGGCAGCAGTGACATCACAAGGAAAAGGCAGCTGTGACGTCACAAGGAAAAGGCAGCAGTGACATCACAAGGAAAAGGCAGCTGTGATGTCACAAGGAAAAGGCAGCTGTGGCATCACAAGGAAAATGCTGTTTTTTTTGGTAAGGAGGGCAGAGTTTTTTTTATCAATGTGAAGCACACAGGTCCTGAATGTATCTTATATCTGGTAACAATATTAACTTGGCAAGGTAGGGGACAACCATGAAACCTGAGCCTCAGGAAACCTGAACCCCCCCCCCCCCCCTGCACTGAAGCAGAATTAGGAAGCAGTGGCCCAAACCCATAGAGGATGAGGAATCTGACCGAGAAGAATAGGCGCTTTTATTACCATCCCAAGGCCACCAGACAAGAAGAAGGGGCGTGGACATGAGTCGAGTTCTTCCACCTGGTATTGGAGTTTGAGATGCAGAGGCTGAGAGGAGCTGGCTTTCATTTGGTGGTGCATGATGAGGTTAAAGCTTTCTTGCAGATCCAGAAATTTAGGGTGTCACATTTGATATCGTTCCAGCCATCCCCAGAGAACTCTGCGCAGTCTTCGTCCCCAACATTGTTGGGCTCCCCTTTATTCCAATACTGCACAAAGCTGCAAAGTCAGTGTGACAGTTAGTTTCCGTTGTCAAGTGACACAGTCTACAATAAGTGGGGGACAGAGTCTCAGTGAGACATTGTCTAGATTAGGCTGGCCTGTGGAAATGTCTACGAGGGATTTTAAAAATGGGATTAATTGAGATGGGAAAACACCCAAATGTGGTGTCATCATTTCATGGGCTGGTGCCTGAACTGAGTCAAGGAGTATAGCCATCCTCTCTCTCTGCTCCTGACTGTGGTTGTGACTAACTGCTTCAAGTTCCTGCTTTGACTTCCCTGTAAGAAAGGACTGTGTGCTGGCTAGTTTAATGTCAACTAGACACAGCCGAGAGTCATTGAAGAAGACTCAATTGAGAAAATGCCTCAATAAGATGGGCTGTGGGCAAGCCTGTGGGACAGTTTCTTAATCTGTGATTGATGGGGGAAGGCCCAACCCATTGTGGGTAGAAACACCCCTGGGCTGGTGATCCTGGATTCTACAAGAAAGCAGGCTGAATAAGGCATGGGGAACAAGCCAGTAAGCAGCACCCACATGGTCTCTGCAGCTTCTGCCTCCGGGTTCCCACCCTGTTTGAGTTCCTGTCCTGACTTCCTTCACTGATGGACTACAGATATGGAAGTGTAAGTCAAATAAACCCTTTCCTCCCCAACTTGCTTTTGGTCATGGTGTTTCATTATAGCAATAGAAACCGTGACTAACACAGACTTTAACCCGTACTTGTGAGCCAAATAAACCTGTTCTTCCTAAAGGTGCTTCTGCTACGATATTTTACCACAGCAACAAAACAACAACAACAAACCAAAAACCAAATGTGTGTGTGTGATAGAGAGAGAGAGACAGAGACAGAGAGAGAGAGAGATAGAGAGACAGAGAAAGACAGAGACAGGGAGGAAAGAATGAATGAATAATAAATACTAGGACACCAGTCCATAGAACATCAGTCGGCCCCAGTGGCACGCTACAATCCACAGTTTTAGCTTCCAGATGCTCAACGCCTTCACATCCTTCCTCGATGCACATGGCCTCCCTTCCTCTTCCTTTCCTTTCATCTTTTCTTTCTTTTTTTGAGACAAGGCTGATCTTGGACTCATGATGTGGGCAAGGATGAACTCAAATTTCTGATTTTCCTGTCTCTACCTCCCAAGTGCTGGGATTACAGGCATGTAACAGCACCATAGTTGGTGCATGGTGCTGGGTACTGAACCAGGGCTTTACGCATGTCAGGCAGCCACACAGTCAGCAGCTAGCCTGATCTTTGCCTTAGTTATACTCTCTTCACCCGTGGCCTTGCTTTATTTTGTATTTTCTATTAATACCCTACATTAAAACCCACACCCCTTGGGGGAGCTTCTCTTGCTGCTTTCCTGGGGGGATTTGCTGCTATTCTGTCTGTGCATGGGTAGGGAGATCTCCTTCCATCAGCAAATGTGGGTAGCTCTTATTCCTAAGGGGCCAGGGGTGGGATGAACCCCAAAGACAGCTCAGGCCTGAGTGTCAGAGACGCCCCTACCGCTGTACAGAGTGTAGCTTTCATTCTAGACCTACCTGGATGACAGAGGTGAGCCATCCACCCAGTGCCAGGTGGCTTCGTTATGCACGTCTGACAGCCCCATCCAGGTTGGTCCTTTAGCCTTAGAAGTCTGCTGCAGGAAGGTCTGGAGGGGAAGAGGAGGAGTCTGAAGAGGAGTTTACCTCCCTAAGTTCTACTTGCAATCTGACCTTCCACCTTCTGCTCCATAGTGCCATGTGCAGGTCTCCCATGGGCTTGAACAAAGCATGGCACATCAAGTTGAGGCAGGAACCTGTTCCCCATGCGGGATTGCCTTGGCCCAGCCATGACACAGCAGGAGGAGCTTGGCCCTGCCTCAACTTGATGTGCATATATGTATCTTACAGGCAGACAGACCATGGCACACAGACATACATGGCTGGCTTTCCTCCCAATACGCTTAGCAATGCGACAAGGTTGTCTTGGGAGTTCTGAGCATGTCTGTAGTAGTTCACTGGTGACTAGCTTTAATGCAGTGGAAGCATTTGTACCAGTGCATGGTTGCTAAAGATGCATATCAGCTCTGTCCAACTCTGCACTGGGTGATGTCCCACTGATGAGGATAAACACCAAGGAAATGGGAATCACTAGGCATTAAGACTGCTCTTTTTTTTTTTTTTTTTTTGGTTTGTTTGCGTGTGTGTGGTGTCTGTATGTATATTTGTGTACATATTTCTGGCATATGTGAATGCAGTTGTATGTGCAAATGGATATGGAGGTCAGAGGTCAGCATTTGGTGTTTTCTTCAGTTGCCCTTTACTATTTTTTGAGATAAATTTCCCACTGGACCTGTAGTTCACCAAGTCAAGTAGACTAGCTGCTCAGCCAGACTCATGGATATGCTGTCTCTGCCTCCCCAGTACAGGCATTGAAGGTGGGGTCTACTAGCTTTGGAAGAACCCATAAGGGCTACACAGGCTGCTAGGGATGAAGAGTCAACAACAGCCTTACCCAGCAGTGAACGCTGTTAGCTGCAGTAGGAGCTGGCCTGGCAGGACAGACCCGTGGGTGCCACGTCAGCATGAATGCTATGGGGGTGGCCAACTGCTTTCTGCTTGGGTTCAAGGCACACTCCACAAGAGGAAACATGTGCTTGGTACTCTAAACCTGGCCAAGAACCCATGGTTGGGGAGCTTATAGGTCCCAGGGGTAAATCTATTACTGTTATTTTGCTAAATGGGAATACTATCAAACTACCCTCTAAATTCATGCCTCTATACCTATAGATTAGTGTAACTCTCAGCCCTTATCAGAGAAGTTTCTTTGTGTAGTGGATGGTGCCTAAGACAGAATCTCACAACTGGTTAAATGCAGGGAGTACGTGTCTGTGAAGGGCGCAGCCCCAAATGGGACATCTGTATGGAACCTACCCCCAAGGCTCTGGGAGCATCATGGAAGAGGAGGCAGAAAGACTGCAAGAGCCAGAGGCTGGGGAGGCCTGGACATGGCAGCACTGCTGGACTCATGGACTCACAGCAGTTCTGGTTGCCTACACAACCAGCTTGTTAACACTGTGGCACAGAGTGAGGAGGTGTTCATGAGGTGCTAGGACAGTTGACGGCTTTGGGGGGAAGAGGGAAAGTCAGTTTTCTTTGCTAGGCAGACCAAGCTTTAGTGGTTGGCCCCATGTCCACGAGTATGTGGGCAACATAAACCTACTCAGTGGGATATACAAAAGGGGAGGGGACATGAAGTTGGGAGGGGATGGGAGGTGAATTCAGGAAGAGTTAAAGGGAGAAGTGTGTGTGTGTGAATAGGATCAAAATGCATTGTATGCATGCATGCATAAAAAATCAAATAATAAAAATATTATATTTTTTTAAAATGTGGGCACGATACCTGGCTTTGTGTGTGTACGTGTGTGTGTGTGTGTGTGTGTGTGTGTGTGTGTGTGTGTGTGTGTGTGTGTGTGTTGTACATGCATATGTGTGTGCAGATGTTTGAAACCATGAGTACACATGCAGAGCCACAGGGAGACATTAGGCATCCTGCAGTATTGCTTTCCAGTTAGTTCTCTTGAATGAGGATTTCTTACTGGGCTTGGAGCTAGGCTGGCAGTCATCATGCCCTAGGGATCCTCCTGTCTGCAGGCCTCATGCCCAACATTGGGCTTAAGAGACACATGTGACCATGCTTGGTTTTTCCCCATGGATGCTGAGGCTCCTAAGTCAGGTCTTCATGCCTAAGCAGCAAGCACTCTTACCCACTGAGATGTTCCCCCAAACCCCATGACCAGCTTTCAAAACGTGGTTCCAAACTCAAGTCCTCGTGTTCGCAAGGTAAGCACCTTCCTAACAGACATTTCCCTAGTTTCTGCTCTAGCAGAACATCTGTCCCTCGATGATGAAGGGGTTTAATACTGCCCAGCACACAGGGTGGCAATTACATTTTAGGCATTCTGCAAAGCATTCAGCAATGTTCAAGTCTTGTGTGTGGTTCCTCGGAGAGTACGTGGGACCCCTCACTCCTGCCCTTCTCTAGTCAAGCAGAAAAAGCAGCGTCCTGCTCATACTCTTGTCTGGCAGATGGTCTCACTCTCAGGTGACCACAGCCACATGTATTCCAGACAAGGGTGGTACCCCACCAGTGTACCTGCTCCTCGTCAGTATCTATGATGACCAGCTGGGCCCCCACTTCCTGGCAGGCAGTGATGGAGTTGTGCCAGTTCCGTTGGGACTTGGAGAAGAAGTAACAGTTTCCATGGAAGAGCACCCAGTCCCTGGGGCAGGGTTGACACAAGCCATCTGTTGGGGGAAGCAGATCAGATAGACATACTTAGAAGCCTATGTTCCTGTTTCTTTTCAACCTTTAAGGACCCTTCTTCACCGTGGCACTCTGGGGAGCCCTTCCCCTCTGTGTTTCTTTATCCTTCTTCACCCAGAGGAATCTAGAAGTCCTGAGCCCATCTTCTCCAGACACAGAGAAGTAGAGCCCAGAGTTCAGAACAGAGGCCAGGACTACCTTGACTGAGTGCCTACTGTGTGCACAACCTCTGTGAACTTAGAGTGCCCGTGATGCGTATGGCCCTTGTTAACACTGAATGCCTTGTGTGTGCAAGACTCCTGTCAACACTGAGTGCCTACTGTGTGGATAGCCCCTGTGGACACTGTACACCTACTGTGTGCACAATCCCTTTGAATATTGAATGTCTGTTGTGTGAATGGATCCTGTGAACATTGTCTATTCTGCACACGATTCCTTTGAACACTGAGTGCCTACTGTGCGCATGGCCCTCAGTGTTATATTGTGATCTCAATTCACGGAGACGGAAACTGAGGCTCAAAGCGGTCGGAGGACTGAAGGAAATTGGTTCCTCTGTCCTGGAGACCTGAGGCCCTGGATCCCTTGTTTCTGGTCACTCACCACGCACTTCTGTCTTCAGCTGCACGAGCTCCTGGTAGATTCTGTCCTGATCCTGGGAGCTGGGGACCTCGGAGACTTAGCCAAGAAAGAAAGAAAGAAAATCCCTGCAGTTATTAAATCCTACTTTTTTCCATGGCCTGCCCTGGGTCCCTTGGGACACTGTGTCATTTTTTAAAAGATGGGTCTCACTACGTTGTCACTGATTTCTCCTGGGGATACGTCCTCATCCTATCTCAGCTTCACAAGCAGGTAAGATTTCAGGCACATGCTTCCAACTCTGTCTAGAACAATTTCTGCCCGATGTCTTTAAACATTTTTTATTATTTATTTTTGTTCTATGTGTATGAGTGTTTTGCCTGCATGTGTGTGTGTATATACACCAGGTGCTTGTCTGGTGCCTGAGGTGGTCAGAAGAGGGTGTTGGATACCCTGGAACTGGAGTTATAGATGATTGTGAGCCACCATGTGTATGCTGGGAACCAAACCCAGGTCCTCTGGAAGAATAGACGTGTTCTTAACTGCTGAGCCAACTCTCCAGTCCTGGGTTAATAACATTTAAAGGCCTGGGAACTAGACGCCCAGGGACGGGTGAAGCAGTAGAAGAACGAGCCACAGCTCTTCTCCCTTCTCTCACACCAGAGGTGAGGGAGGTGTCTCTGAGAAGTTCCTAGAAGCCACTGAAGGTTGTGTTACCGCTTGCACTCCCCATATTTTCCACACAGGCCCTAGGGCCGGATCGGAGAGCCGAGGCCTCCATTGTGTCTGACCTAGGACAAGAATGATCAGCAGGAGCCCAGCCAGGAACAGGAAAGAGAGCAGCTGCAGGACCAAGGGGTTGCAGCTGTGTTTCAGATACTCTGCAGAAGAGAAGGTCGTGGTATTAGAATCATAGTGCCCCTGCCTCAGCCTGACCCCAGGACAGACTTACTGCCACCATTCTCCTCCTGCAGGGCACAGGAGTCTGGATTCTCAGCCTCAATCTATGGCCTAAGATTCCACCCTCAGCATCTGTCTTCTCAGGACTGAGAAGTTTAGGGTCCTGACTCCAATTTCCCAGGACCCATTTCTGGGAAGGGCTGTCTACTTTTCCTCAGCCCCTCACCATTGTTGTACCTGCCAAACTTTTGATTCCAAAATTCGGTCGTAATCCAGAGCTGACAACAGAATACCTGGTACCACTGATCAGGCAGTCTTCATCCTCTGCAGGAACAGAGCACCAGTCAGAGACTTGGGCAAGCGCAACCATGAGCTGCCTCTCAGGACTCCCTTGCCTCAGCGACTCTCACAGCCCCAGCCCATCCTCACCTGGAGAGCCCAGTCGTCGTACCCTTGGTTCTGCGGTGTGGCTCATGATCACTGCTCTTGCTTCGTGTCTGGAACTTCCAGGGACCACAGCTTTTATTTGTTGTCCCCTGATGCCTACTTCCTAGACATTCTGATGAGAAGAGAAAAGGGAACTGAGTGGGAGTGTGGAAGAGCTAGGAGGGGCTGTACCCCTGACACAGCACATCTGGTGCCAGATAATCCAAGAGTTTTTAGGGAGAAGTTTGGGAAGTTTGGAGCGTGTAGCAGAAAGATCTGGTTTATTCATGTTGAGACAAATTATGGGGTGCCTTTATCCAAGCTAATAGCCTGTAGGTAACACCTACTTTGCTATACTCTTTCTGCTTGTGCTGAGAGCCTTAACCCACATTCCCGGTCGCTCTGCCCACACCGACTTGTGTTTTCGTGCTTTGCTGGCATCCTGACTCACTGTGGTTTCTGCTGATTTTGATGTTCTCATGGAATCACCACACTGTTGTTAATGCAGTGTTTGCTGCAGATGTACCCAATTAACCCTCTACGTTGTAACACATGATCCACTTTCCATTTCTGCACGGCCAGATTATGTAACAGGCCCGTAGTCACACAGCTATTTAATGGCGATCTGGCATTTGAACGTAGGTGATCTGACTCTACTGTCTCCATTGTAAACTGAGGAGAATAAAATAGTCCCAAGGGGGGAAAAATTTCCTAATGCTCAACACATATCGAGTGAAAAAAGGCTACATATTTTTGTTGTTGCTCTTGCAAACTGGAACCGTCTTCATGGGTAACAAAGAAACCCATGGAAACTGGGAATTGGTTCTCTCCTTTCACTATGTGGGATCTGGGGGTCAAATTCAGACCAGTAGGATTAGAGGCAAGTGCCTTTATCCATTGAGCCGTTTTGCTGACCCATTTCACCTTATTTTTAAGACAGGTTGTTACTGAACCTTGAACTCACTGGTTCAGTTAGATTGGCTATTCGGTGATCCCCAAGAATCCTCCTATTTCTGCCTCCCCAGTATTGGGATTACAGATATAATTCCCGCCATGTCTGGATTTTTACACTGGGGTCCAAACTCCGTTCATCACACCGTGTGGCAAAGCGCCACTGACTAAGCCATCTTCCCAGCCCCCGATCTTTGCTATTAATTTGAAATGGAGATGACTTTAATGGGTAGAACAGAGACTGACCCAGTGGTTGAGGTATAAAAAGACTTCAATATTATGGGAATATTTGATATTTTATTGGAGTGGTGTAGTGTATGCATATATAAGTGTCTACGTGGGCATGAAAGCCTCTGCATCGCACTACCCCTGTGATATAACCTCAGCACCAGAAAGCATGTACTCGAACCATGATCAGTGAGTTTAGTTTCTGGCCTTGTATTTGTTTTATGAACTTAAAATAAAAATGTACGATAACTGTGGCAGCATTCCTGCTGGGCTACACTGGGCCTGGCTCCAGAGAGTAGCACCTAGTCCTTATCCATCTTTTGTTTCTCTTGTTGCCCTCTATGTGAATCTTGTCTGAGAGCCTCCCAAGGATACAAGCCTATGCAAGAACTTGGTTCGGGAAACCTGGAAAACTGTGGTACCTGATGAATCGAGAAATTTGCACTTGGCATTGCATTTTTGGAGGCTTCATTCAGGTTGTTTTGAGCATATGGAAATCAACTGGCTAACCTGTAAATATGGAGAAAAATAAAAGTGTGCTGGGTGAAGGGAAAGTGCTTCAGTCCTTAGAAGTTGGATCCCCATGCAGCCGGGAAAGGCTAGATTCATTCTTAAGGTGCCTCTGGGTCTTCATTCAATGGTCCAGACACTCGTGAACCCACACATCTGTGCCACCACAGTTAACTTTTGTTGGCTCAAAAACATAGCTCTCACCTCGAAGGAAATGGGAACTAGAATAAAATCTGGAGTCAACTATGAGTGACCAGGTCCCAGGAGCACACATTCAGATTGCCCTAAATATCAGATTCTACTGTAGAAGAGGCCACATGAGGTTTTACTAGTTGTAGAACAAAGAAAAGGTAGGGAACCACAGGTAAGTGGGTTCCAGATGAAACAGGGAAACCTCCGCTGCAAATTTAAGAAGTTCTCTGGTGATGCTTTTGGACTGACAGAAGCTAGTGGTTTTCGAAGAATACATTTTAAAACTTTGGTAGTCATAAGGATGGTAGATCAGATACAGAGGAGGACAACAATGGTTTTCAGAGTGACTAAACATGGCTCAATTTTTTTTTGGTTCTGATCTGTAACATTTTAACTCTCTACAATTTTTTTTTTTTCGAGACAGGGTTTCTCTGTGTAGCTTTGGAGCCTGTCCTGGAACTCACTCTGTAGCCCAGGCTGGCCTCGAACTCACAGAGATCCACCTGCCTCCCGAGTGCTGGGATTAAAGGCATGTGCCACCACCCCCCGGCTAATTCTCTACAATTTTTGAAGCTCAGTTATTTATCATTTGCTCTAGTTTTAATTCTGTTCCGATAAAAAGACCCAGACAAAAAGCAGTTCAGGGGAGAAAGGGTTAATTTCATCTTATACTATAGGGTTATATTTCATCATTAGAAGGAACTCACTGGGCAGGGGCTCGAGACAGCTGTCACATCACATCCGTGGTCAAGAGGGGAGGTGAGTAAGTGATGCTGGATTACTTGTCTGCACTCTACTCAGCATTCACTGTCTTATAGAGTATAGGATCCCTGACTGGGGAATGGGCCACCCACAGTGAGCTGGGTTTTTCCATATCAGTTATTTAAGACAATCTCCACAGACATGCCCACAGATCAATGCAGTGTAGACAATCCCTTGTTGAGCTTCCCTTCCTAGGTGCTTCTAGGTTTGTCAAGTTTTAGTTAAACCCAAACATCACAGCCTAGTATAATCTTTAACACAAGTGCAGCTTTTCTCCCTTTTGAAAACATCAGCTCCCATTTTGTACTAGTTATAGATTTATAGCATTATGCCAAGGTACAATGCAGATTTCTCATATGCCTTTCAGTCAGGATCCTCTAATGTTGATGTCCTTCATAGTAAAATGTGACAATAGTGTCGAATGTGTCAATTTTGACTTTTTAAAAGGTAAATGTGTCTTGGGGCTAGAGAGATGCTCAGTGGTTAAGAATGCATACTGTTCTTTCAGAGGATCTGAATTCAGTGCCAGACAGTTCACAATTGCCTGTAACTCCAGCTCCAGGGGATCTGACAGCACCTGAACCCACATGCACACACCCCAACACATACAAAATTAAAAATAAAATACTTTCTTTTTTAAAGATGTGTCCACTGGTGCAAGAGCTGCATGGCTGTTTTGGGAGTAACCAACTCTTTCTTACTGTATTGAGCTCTCCTCTTCAGGAAGGATTTCATGACTGGTATTGCAAATCTTGCTAAAAATCACAGCCACAGCCACAGTCACAGCCACAGCTGCTGTCACAGTCACCATCACAGCCACAGTCACAGCTAGTCACCACCACAACCACAGCCATAGCCATAGCCAGTGCCACAGACACAGCCATAACCACAGCCACAGCCACCACCACAGCCACTGCCACAGCCACAGCCACCACCACTGCCACTGCCACTGCCACCGCCACAGCCACAGCCACTGCCACCACCACAGCCACAGCCATAACCACAGCCACAGCCACCACCACAGCCACTGCCACAGCCACAGCCACCACCACTGCCACAGCCACAGCCACTGCCACTGAACAGCAACAGCTACAGCCACAGCCACTGCCACTGTCATAGCCACTGCCACTGTCACAGCCACTGCCACTGTCACAGCCACTGCCACTGCCGCAGCCACTGCCACAGCCACAGCCACTACCACAGCCACAGCCACTGCCACTGTCACTGTCACAGCCACTGCCACAGCCACTGCCACTGCCACTGCCACTGCCACTGCCACTGTCACTGCCACAGCCACTGCCACTGCCACTGCCACTGCCACTGCCACTGTCACTGCCACAGTCACAGCCATTACCACTGCCACAGTCACAGCCACAGTCATAGCCACAGCCACTGCCACTGAACAGCAACAGCTACAGCCACAGCCACTGCCACTGTCATAGCCACAGCCACTGTCACAGCCACTGCCACTGTCACAGCCACTGCCACAGCCACAGCCATCACCACTGCAACAGTCATGGCCACCGCCACAGCCACAGCCACTGCCACTGCCACAGCCACTGCCACAGCCACAGCCACTACCACAGCCACAGCCACTGTCACTGCCATAGCCACAGCCACAGCCACTGCCACAGCCACTGCCACTGCCACAGTCACAGCCACAGCCACAGCCACCACCACCGCCACAGCTACTGCCACAGCCACTGCCACTGCCACAGCTACAGCAACCACCACTGCCACAGCCACAGCCATAGCCACAGCCACAGCCATAGCCACAGCCACTGCCACAGCCACAGATGTAGGCCTGAACAGATTGTGTGAGATGCTGGCAAACCAGCTTTAAGGACATCTTCTGGGAAAATGACAGAGTTTGTCAATAAGGATCTTACAAAAGGAGCCTCAGTGACTGCTGCCCTGGCCATAGCAATAAAAAACACCATGGTACTGGCACATTCACAAAAGCAGATCAGTGGAATAGAATAGAGGACTGAGCTATAGTTCCATACTCCTATAGCCACTTGAGTTTTTTGACAAGAAGCCAACATACATATTGGAGAAAAGACAGCTTCTTCATCAAATGGTGCTGGTCAAACTAGGTATGTACTTGCAAAAGATGGAAACTAAGTCCTTATTTCTCATTCTGCACAAAACTAAATTTCAAATGGACCATGGGTTCAGCATAAGACCTGAAACTCTAAAACTGCCCAAGGGAAAAGTAGGGAGTGCTCTTAAGAACATGGTTATAGGGATGTATATACCGGGACTCAGGTAGGTCATGGGTGAAGGGAGGGTATACCTATATACCAGGACTCAGGTATGTTATGGGTATAAGGAAAGTGTGTCTATACCTATATACCTGGACTCAGGTAGGTCATGGGCATAGGGAGGGTATACCTATATCTATATACCAGGACTCAGGTATGTTATGGGTATAAGGAAGGTGTGTCTATACCTATATA